GACCTGAGCTGAAACCGAGTCAGACGCTTAACTGACTGAGCCACGCGGGCGCCTCTGTTTTTTTCCCCCGAGTGCTCCCTTGCCCATCTGGAAGCCCCCAGAGGCTGGTGGAGGTAGGCTCTCTGGGAGACTCCCTCGCTCGCATGCCCCACGACGCTGTACCTGTGCTCCTGTTTGAGCTCCGCCAGGCCGGGCTGCTGGTGCTTGTTTGAGTGTTCCTCTGTCCCAAAGCCCCTGCCACCCAGAGACAGGGCCTGCAGCCTCCCGGGTTCGTCTGACAGCCGCGTGCAGGTCAGATGCATGCTGGAGGGGCGTCTTGTCCAGCATTGTGTCGGTGCTTTAAACAAGAATAGAGCCCGGAGAGATGAACCGACTTGCTGGGCTCACCCATCAGTCATCAGGCCTGACCAGAGCCAGGGATCCCCACAGGATGGAACTCACTGCCTCCGTGTCGTAGCCAGTTGGCCAGCCTGGCCAGCGGTGCCGTGAAAGCCCGTGTTAGTGAGGGACGGGACGCCAGGCACGCCCCCTCTTGTAGTGTGCTTCTCAGAGAAAACCATGTTTAAAAAAGAAAAGCACCTTTTTTAAAAGTCTTGGGCTTTTTATAGACAGAGCAATTAGGGACCTGCTTCATTAATCTATTTTTTAAAATATTTTTAACGTTTGTTTGTTTTTGAGAGACAAGAGTGCGAGCGGGGGAGGGGCAGAGAGAGAGAGAGAGAGAGAGAGAGAGAGAGAGAGAGACAGAATCCGAAGCAGGCTCCGGGCTCTGAGCTGTCCTCACAGAGCCTGACGCGGGGCTCGAACTCACAAACTGTGAGATCATGACCTGAGCCAAAGTCAGTCACTCAACCGACTGAGCCACCCAAGCGCCCCTAATCTGTTATTCATGTATCTTTGGCAGATGGGAGCTGAGATCGGTTTCTTCTGGTATGCCAAAAAATATGCTGCTTGCCTTGTTTGACAATATATGCTATACATAGAAACGTCTATGTAAAATATTGGATATAACACATACAAGATACAACATGCGTAACGTACTTTATATATACGTGTATGTGATCGACAGGTCTAGATGTGTATACCTACGTGCGTCCTGAAAAGAATAGCGCTCTGGTGTTTCCCAGTGGATTTTCTTATTGATCGATTCCTGTCTTCTACACCAGCTGGCAAAATTCACGAGTGGGGGTGAAGAGAGGAATATTAATAGAAGTCCAAGTCAAAAACCCTGGGGCCATATTCACAGGTTTTGTGGTGCCCTGGCAGCAGGGGAAGGATGTTTGCATTTGGCAGATGGGACAGATTATTTGCCCTTTGCTTCTCTGATAGGGAATCTCTCCCCAGGGGACAGGGGAGAGCCTGTCACAGCTCCACGAGGACAAAAGTCTCAAAATTTAAGTCATTGCCATGGAAACCTTAACTGGATCTGCTCACCCTGCACTCCATGATAGAATTGGGCCTTTGAGGACGAGGCTGGCTCATAGCTCCATTTGCTGGGTGAGGGGGGATGGGGCACAGCCATAGGTGCATGAGGAGGGGTCACCGGCGGCGTGGGGAGCCAGCCCCTCCCTGAAGCCAGAGTAGAGGAAGAGGCAGGAGGGTCCTGGGAACCAGAGGGGTCTGCATAAGGGCAGTGTGTTCACCGAAGCTCTCAGATCAGCACTAACCACGGGGTCCATCTGGAAAGAAAACAGAACAGGCTGAGGATTTCTCTGCGTGTCACGTGGGGGTTGCTGTGCTGGGGGCCCCCATCCTGCGTCGCCCTCCCTCAGGGGCCGTACCCGTAGGGGACCCCGGAATCTAGTTGGGGTGGAGCTGGGCTCCCCTAACACACTCACGAGCACCCAAGGCAGAGAGCCGTGTAGAAACATGAGGACGTGAATCAGGCCGGGCAGGGGGAGGGCCGAGGGGTCACCTGCCTAGCTTTAATTCCCCAGGGGGGACCTCCGTGGGGCCTTCGCTCCCTCCTCCTTTCTCCCATCCCATCAGCTTAGGCTGGCTCCGCACACATGTGCCTTGGAGGCACCACCTGGGATCTGACGGCCACAAACTTTCCTAAAAAAGCAAACCCTGAAACTCAACTGATGAGAAGAGCTGATTTTACTCATTCACTCACAATTAGGAACATCATAAAGATTTTTCATTACTCTAACAGAAATCGGTTAAAAAGCAGCACTTTTTCCTGGATTCCAGAGTTCCTTTATATTAATAGGTTCTACTAAATCTTCCCCTAGACCTACCAATGTGATGGTTTCCTGCCCCCCCGATTAACTCCTTCAGAAAAACAGGTCAGGGGAGGACTTGCATTTGAGCAGGAGTGGGCCAGCCATGGCCAGCTGGCCAGAGGGGCCGGGCCCAT